GATAAATATTTTTTTCTTTCGACAAAAATCTTTCGAAATAAACCTTAGATAATATTTTGAAAAGCTCATGAGAAAATATTTTTTGCTTCGAAAAGTGAAACGATACTTTATCTACATCTAAATTCTCTAAGTCTTTGCTTTGATCTAAGGAATTCCAAATCATTTTTACACAACTTCTCAATGTGAAATCATATTTGACTCTTAAATATTCTAAAAAATATAAGATAGTGTAAAATTTTTCAATCGTCATCGATTTATCTAGTAAACAATAGGAAATTTTTAAACTTATAAAAAATTGAAAATTCAAATTCCTTTATATGATGACAAAGAAATATTCCAACATTCAAATTTTCATTGCCTATTTTATCAAAAGTATCGAATTTCAATTCAATATTTTCTGTATTGTATAGGATGTACTGATTATATTCTGTATTTGGATCTCTTTTGGGAATGTGTTCCATATGTTTAACTTCTATGAATTCATCATCCAAAGCTCTTCTTATTTGACATGTACATTCTCCTTTCGACTCAATGCTATTTAATTCGGAAATTGGTGCTTTAGAAGAGCTCTCAACATAGAATGTTATATTTCGCTGCTGTGAATAATTTATAAAGACCAAACCAATATAATTTAAGCAATAATGAAGTGAAACCATGGTGTGAAAAGCAAATAATTTTTATATATAATTTTTACAAATTTACCCCTTTAGGCTTCATCAAATTTTTATACAAATAAAATGACAAAAAAATTAATTAATCATATTATCAGTTAAGTCTTAATTAAGTTTTACGCTATAGAATGCCTCAAGAATAGTTATGCTTTGGCCAGAGAGGGATTCAACATTTTTTAAATATTATGTGACATTTTTTTTTATAAAAATCTTCTTTTTTAGAATTTAGCATACGCTTAGATGATAAAATCGTTTTTTTTCCTATGTATTTGAATATTTTTTTAAGTGCATATAATAAAAAATTTACGATTTTTATTTGTTTTTTTTTCTAGAAATCGAAATGATGTTTTATTTTAAATCATTGCCAAATTTTCAAATCTATAATCATCAGATATTAAAAAGTAAGACTGTTTGTGTAAATTAGTTATTCAAAAAATTCCAATCGTTTATATTGTCATTGCTGATGGCATATAGCATTGAATTTGATAAAAAAAAAACAATCTTTTTACAAATTTATGTGCTGAAAATTAGTTTGATTTATATGTTCTAAAGAATATTGTGAATTATCCAAACCAAAAAAAATTTTGAGAAATTAATTTAACTTCTATTTTTTTTTCAGAAATTTATAATAGTGTAAAAAAACGCAAAAAAGGAATGATCCAATCCAATATCTGGCAATAAATTTATTTTATACATAGTTTGAGTTATAAGAATAATTTAAGCAAGTTGATAATATAGGAAATATTTGTATAATCGAGTAATAACCCGACGACAACCATTTACTTCGAAATGTTTAATTGGATGGAGAAACCAAGCTACCAATAATAGTGTTTTGATTTAATATATCAATCTAATGATTTTTTTATTTCTCTTACACAACCAATAATAGTGAGTAGGAGTAGAATATGAAACAATTGAACACTTTTCGTTGGTTCAAATAAATACTTACATTTTTTATTAACCTTTTTTCTAGATTGTAATATATAACAAGGCTAACATAATAAATATATTTTTTTTATTTTTCCAAAAATTCTCATTTTTTTTTAAAAAAATATTTCAATTTCTTCAGATTTTTTATCTAAGAATTTTTACAGTTAGATAAACAATTATATGATGTGATTATTGTTTTTTCCCTTTTAGTTATGCAATTTTATATATCCTCTACAATACGTGCATAAACTATTCTTCCTTGAATAGTCTATGCTATTTTATGCTTGATTAAATTAAAAGATTTCTATAAAGAACCTAGAGGGTTATATAATAATTTAATTCACCAATACATCATCATCGGACCTACAGCCATGAGTGAGCCATAGTCGCCCTCAGTAATACCGCCCTCTGGTCTTTTTCCAGTGGGTTTGTTTACCTTTTCGAATTCGTAACAGGGTGGTTTAAAGGGTGGGTTGTTAGCCATATGCTCAACCAACTTAGAGGACCAATCCATTTTAGTCGCCTTTTACGACAAGCAGAGAATTCTCCAAGTCAATTCATTTCCCGGTATACCGAGTAATCACCAATACATCACGCCACGGCAAAAACTATTTTAGACAATGAAAAAGCTTATAATACATAAATGCCAACGACAACCTAAGCGGAAGCGATGAAAATAGATGATGATCTTGAATGAGCAAAAAATAAACTATTTGCTAAACTTACTTACTAATTCCATTCATTTTTTACCTTTCGGTGTCGAGGATGAAAAACTGGAAAATTTCAATTTGCTTCTTTTAATGTGTTGTTAAGTATGCTTATAGGGAATTGGCATATGGATCCGATGTGGTTTATATTTTATCAAACTCTCAACAATGATTTTCACATCAATTTACCCACTCATTGACAACCAGATAGTTTTTAATGTGGTTATCCTCTCTCCAATTATAGTAGTTAAGCATGCTATAAATTTAAAAGCAAATAAAAATAAAAGAAGAAATACTTTAGGTACAATATATTTTTACATTTTATTCCAAAATTGCTAAAGAGCGGCTAAACATGCGGATATAAAAATCTAAAAAAAATACAAGCAACGAACACTGATGGGTATATCTCTCACTTGAACAGGCCAAGAAATTATAGCTCAGCACAAGAAGTGCAACGTGATAATCTACTTTGTTTTTTATGGATGTAAAATCAAGTTCGTTTCTACGAGCTTAACAGCTAGTCTATATATATTTTTGATAAGTTTAAAAAATTAGATAAAACGTAAAGTTTTGGATAATTTGGAAAGATTTTAACAATTCCAGGTCAATATTAATACTTTTAGAAATTATCTGGTCCCTTTGATGAAATGATAACTGTTTAGAAATATTTATCTAGGTGACTTTCGCCGGCTAATCAGCAATCAGTTTCGGGTTGCGTTTGTACCATCTTACACTAGAGTGAGTTAAAGTTTGTTTCCAGTTCTTAATTTATTAAGTTTCAGTTATTTTCTAAAAAATATAATACAGGAACCAATTTTAACGAATTATTATAGTATGAAGCATAGCTTTGATAAAAATTTGAATGAATTGTGCTTATCCAAAGCTCGGAATACATAAATCTCACAAAAATCAACATTCGGAAGTAATAGAAAGTTTCAAAAATATAAAAGCAAGTCATTAGGAGAAAAATGGGGTTATCATTGTTTACATAAGATTGAATTGAGAACTATTTGAGAAGAAAAATAGTGATTTTTCTTTTAGAGCAGGGATCTCAAACTACATCTGTTGGTCAAATCTAGCCCGAGGAGATATTTTATAAAGCTTTCGGTGTAACTTAATTAACCCCTACGGTTTTTTACACCAGGTGTTTTTTGATAGAAAAATAAAAACAAGATAAACTATACAAACGAAATTACAATTATAAATTATTTTTTGTAAGAATTTCTAATAGAAAGAAAATTTAATTGATTTTAAACATTTTTGTTATCATAAATCATATTTTTTTTATAATTTACACAAAAAAAACAAAACGAAACAAAGAAAAATGTGTGGCATAAGTATTTTTTTATGAAATTTATATATTAGTCTTTTCTCAATATTTTTTTAAAGATGTATGTATAATTTACAAGTATAAATTAGCTATAACGAGTTCGAGAGCTTATCTTGTAACTTTAAATTTTCTATATTTTTCATCTATTTAATTTTAGAGAATGTTTATTCACATATTTAGATGGTGCCAAAAGCAGAAATAAAACCTCGGGCAAACTTATGAGCGTTTTTAATTGGGGATTCGAAGATGCATATAAAATTATGTAATTTTTTTGAACAGGTTTCTATAAAAATATTGTTCAGATAGTATATTATTTTTTTGAACATCAGTATCAAACTATCACATTTTATTCAAAAATAGTAATAATAAACACAGAAAAAATAATATTCTTGCCCTTTATATGGAAGCTAATGAGTTCTCGACCCTCGGGTTATACCTTTCGCAAACCTTGTATTAGAAGGTAATTTGCACATTTCATGGTTTGGTAAAACGATGCATCAAATCAAATATTAGCATACATGAGAAATTGTTAAATGCAACAAATACGTTTCTATAAAAATCAGTTAATTCAAAGAGCCTACGAGTATTTTTCATTGAAAGTATTTGTAATTTATCTGCTGTGACAAATTATGATTTTTTTAAAAACAGAGGTTCGAACATTTAATAAAATACCAGATAGATATATTTGCAAAAAAAGATCAAATATCTAAATAAAAAAAAAATATTGCGATTCGGTTTGATTATTGAGACCGAAAAATCGAGAAGCATGAAATACTATCAAATCGATCCAGTCATATGTACATCAGTATCACTAAGACCGACTTAAATGTGGTAGTCCAAATATTATGACAAAGTAATAGAACCTATATGATAAAAAACCAAATACTACTAATAACAAAAGCATCTATTTCTCATTATTTTTCGACTTCAATCCAAAATTTTTATTTTTCGGAAATCATTTTGATTAAAAACTAGACATATAATAGTATTAACAATATAAATTACGAAGTTCCAAGGGAAAATTACGGGCATCAAATGATAAAAACAACATATTAAATTTATCTAACCATATAAAAACGAGGTAATTCATCAATCCCATAAGAAAATACTCATTAATAGCGCATAATATAATCAAAATTAAAAAGAGGTCCAACAAGCAAGAGATAGAACCACAAATTTTACAAATCAAAAAAAGGCATCAAATTTGAATAAATACGATCTTTTAAAATGAATTCACCTAATATATACAAAAGGAAATTTAAGATATCTTAAATTTCTTTTAATTACGTAATTACTATTATGTCTTTTAGTAAAATTCAAAAACCGTTATAAGAGATTAATAGTTTAACTGAGTTTTTTCTAGCTGGTGTGGCCGAGTGGTTAAGGCGTTGGTCTCGAAAACTAATTCGCTCTGCGAGCAGAGGTTCGAATCCTCTCGCCAGCGAATTTTGAAACTCCGAAGACTTCTAGGCATCATAATGTACTTTTTAAACATAAAGCATATGAGGCTAATACTATTTTAAATTTGGTATAGTATAAATTTTTTGAATACATAATGATATTATTTATATTTTTTGATCAAAAAATCATTTCAAAGATCTAAAAATTTATGCTAACTATGCCAAATCATCTATTTTTACATATGAACTTGTCTGTTAAACTTCTTTTTATTTCAACCCACTATTTGTGCTTTGTACATTCTAATCAGAGTATATATCAGAATATTAAATAAATATAAAAATTTTAATAGCAATAAATGATTAAAATATATTATAAAAAGTATCTTATAGGTTATTCTTTAGCATGAAATATATTTACGTCTTTTATCATTTCTTAGAAGTATTTATATTGTATTCGTATGTATATCAAGAAAATAACAGCTTTTATACAGAATGAAATAGTATCTGCTTTCAGTATGCCTAGATAAGCCTTTCGAGATTAAAGGAATACCTCGTAAAAATCCATCTTTCAATTTTCAGCAATAATTGTAATATTACGTCATAAAAAATTACTTATTAACAGCAAATCTTTTGGAAAGGTTTTTGATTTTCTATATAATTAACCAAATTTGAGAATATCCTTGCACGGAAATATACCCTATTCTTAAAAACATATTTATCAATTCAATACTTACAAATATTTGCTGAGAAGAAAGGATGATCGCTCGGTTAGCTCGTGTTTGTAGCATCCCAATGATCATACAAAAATAGATTATAATTTTCTCTTGAATCTAAGAAATCGTAATTTATTGGTTTAAAATTACTTGCGTAATCACAAAAAAATTAAGTAATAGTCTCCGAAATACACGTTCAAAATAAAATAAAAAAAATATTTCGTCTATTCTTTAACGGTACGAGAATTAGATCGAGAAACGCCAAGTCTAAATATTATCGAATAATGGAGTAATTTGAGGGAATCCAAAAATAAAATTTAACCGAATGAATGTATTTTTAATTAAATAAACCAAACATTTAATTTTAGACAATTTGATCCTACAATTTTCCATGTTTTATTTTAACTAAAATAACTTCAATTTTAGAAATATAATATTAGGCTTTTAATATATATTGGTATACGTATATATTCAAGATAAATTATAGACTAATCATCGAATACAAAATATAAAAAAATATTCTTTTCATTTTAGAAATTCTCGGTCCAAAGCTATTAAGAAATATAAAATATTCAATCTTTAAAAATTAATCACACATACTTGTGCTAAAAAAATTTATTATTTTAAATTTAAAACTGTTCGATTCAAAATCATAGACTTCAAAAGCAATTTATTTGCAATAAATAGCTATAAATTCAATAGAAGATGAACAAATAACATAATATTAGAAAAAAACATTCTTTTGCACGGTATGCACTTCATCAAAAAACAAACTATCATTGAAAAATGACATCTAATGAATTTTGCAAACGCTATTTATAGACATAGAAAATATTAAAAATAAACGTATAAGTTTTTGTTATATGAAGGTTTGATGTTGAGGAGAAGGATAACATCAATCATTTTAAATGCTTTTGTAATTATATGAATTTTGGTTGTATATTCTAAATTCTAGTTTTTGATGATTTATAATTTTCGTAACTTTTCTCGAAGCACCCAAATAAAAGACATCTTTTATAGAAACAGGCACTATCTTTGCAAACGAAGATTTTGATACCCGTGTAGATAAAGAATTGTTTTTAAAGGAAAAATTTATTTATGCTATTACTCTAGTTCTTTTGTTTCATTTCTTCCCCATCGAGGCTTTATTGAAATAGAATTTTGTGTTTTATAAGGAAATACAATAACTCATAATTATGTAGTAGAATACTACAATAATATAATTAATTTTTTATTTGTTGAATTCATGATAAATATCGTTTACTTTTTATCGAGTCCCCATGATGCATATTAAATCGTTATATTTTCAGCTCGATACTAATTTAAAATTAAATATTGATTCAGATAACATTTTAAAATAAATTAAAAGCGTTTACTCGTTTTCTTAATGTAGATAATTCAAAAATATGAGCTTGAAATAAATATTTACTGTAATAAAAAACCAATGTTTTTATACACAGTAGAGAAATCTAAAAAAAGCTTTTAAAAACTTATTTTGAATTCAGCGAAAATGAAATTATAAGTCAATTATTATTTGTGAATTTTTTACAGTATAAGTCGAAAATAGGTTCATAAGTTTCAAAATAAACTTAATTTTTTGGTGTATAACCCAAAAAATTACAATTCAACACACCGAAAAGATCATAATGTAAAATATATGAATGTAACAATAAATATAAATAAAATTTGTAATTATGAGTTATTTAATTAATCAAATTAAATAAATTCATATTATATGGTTTTGTTGCAAAAGAAGAGTTAAAAATAAATTATTTATGAAGAGTATATTTATATAAGCATGTTTTTTTGCAAATTAGTCTCGTTTATAAATACAAAAAAAATGAATAGAGTTAGTTACACGTTGAAGGTGATTTAATATATAAAATTTATACCTATATTTTTTTGATTAAAAATATACAATGTTTAGTTCCTTTATCAAATTATGTAGAAAAAGTGTAAAATTATCCTTTCTTTTTTCTTGTATTCTAAGATCATCATGGCTTATATAGAAGTATAATATAAAATTCACTTTAATATGGCATTCTTTTGTTATTTCAAAATCTGTAATATAAAATTCGTCTTTATAATCACATGGGTGTTCTTTTAAATATTTTGCAATTCTAGTTTTTAAAGAATCAAAATTCTCTTTGAATGATTCATATGAAAACATTTTTGATATCGTGAAAACATTATATGATGATTTTCTTATATTTGTAATCCTATTTTTCCTAAGTTGTTCATTGGGATAATTACATGTTCTAGAGTCAGATATCAGTGTACTGTATGAAATTCCTATTTCTTTAACAGAATATTGTTCATTTTCGATTTCAATTGTATCTTTTTTATCGAACGGTCTTACAAAGAACACAAAAATAATACAGGACAATATTTCAGAACAAATAGGACCAAAAACAAAGGCCATAGGTAGTATCAGACCAAGAACACCCATATAGTAACCTCTAAACAAGTCTTTCTTGCCCATTGAAACATAAAATATGCAGATTGAAATTGGAATAAATACCAATATCAAGATGGTTCTTAGTTTATCAAAATTTTTTTCGTTTTGAATCAAAATTAATGACAATTTATTGAAATTACTTGCTAAATTACTATATTTTTCCGAAAAAACACGCTTTTTTATTTGTATCTGATTGTTAGATCTAATATTTGCATCATCATTTAAATTACTAACTCTTGAAATATTGAGAATGTCATAATTTGTTTTCTCTTCAGAAAAAAAGTTTAATATCTCCTGAGAATCAGTTTCATCGAAATGGATTTTCAATGATTCTAATGTAATATTTCTTGTGTCCCCACTTAATTGCTTAAATATTTCAGAAGATGTTTTATCAATATTTGAAGAAAATTTCTGATTTGTTACATTATGTATTCTTTCGATAACTCGCATTTGATTTCGAATAAGATGTAGTTTATCTCTATAAAATCTATAATGCATATTATAAATCGCGTACTGATATACAATCTTGTGCAAACAAAACGTAAAAATGGCCAAACTGAAGGAAAAAATGAATTCCGAAAATGACTTTTCGTTTTTAGGCAAAAACTTAAATTTCAAATTGTTAATTGATTCGAAATCATAATAATGAAAGCTTTTTAAAAGCGACATAATTTTTATTAGCATTGAATATAATACTAGTCCAAATATGAATTTTATGGAATTTGAATTTTTATAAACCAGTATCTGTTTAAATGTACCATTATACTTTGGTTTCGATAAATATAAACATAAAAGAGTCATTACAACACTCAATAAAAAATATATCGATAAATAGACAAAAATATGAAACATTAGAAGTGAAATTTCTTTGTGTTCTTCAATTAAATTATATGAAATTCTTCCTCCTACTCCAAATAAAATTGCAAGTATAAAATATAATATTGTATAAACATAACTGAATGTTTTTATATTCTCATATTCAGAAATTTTAATCATTCTGTTTTTTTCATTAAAAAAAATATTTTTCGAAAAATCTTCCATCAAACTTTCCAGAATTTTATTTCTTTAATATTTTTCTCCTAAATAAAGACATCATATTTACCAAAAACAGATAATTGGATTATCTTATATAAAGTTAAATTTAATTGATTCTTTTAATTTCTAAAATTTTAATTTGATAGTTGGTTTAAATATTTTTATCATAGATCTATATATTTGAATCATTGGATAAAGCAAAGAACAGAATAGATGTAAATAAATTTTATTTGATTAGAATTGTAACTTTTTTCTCGAATAAAATATTAACGTAAAATATATTATTATCTGATTGGTTTCAAATAAAATCAGTCATGAATTAGATTAGTCTATAACCAAATAAATGATTATCAAATAGAATATATTCGTTCAATAGGATATGTTTTCAAATTTATAAAATTATTACGCATAGATTCTTCAAGATATTAGAATCCAAAGAATTAATTATAAAAAAATAAAAATTAGAATTATCAAGTTTGTAATGACTGGTTTAGAAATATTTATTAGATAAAATTATCTTCTATAATGCATATAAGTTTCTTTGATTTTCTAAATAATTTATTTTTGTCGTAATTACTATTAGTAATTTCACATATTTCACATAATTTCACGAGAATAATTTTTTATTCCAACATTCAACGCATTCCCCGTTCTTTTGGATTTCATAAATTAAAAATGAATCGAATACAAAATATTTTTATTTTATTAGAATTATTTTTGGTAAAAAAAATTAAAATTACAATCTTATAATTCGAAAGCATCTACAATTTAATCTCTTTGGTTATTGCAAGATGGAGGAAGGATAATCACATTAAAGACTATCTGCATGCAATGAGTG